TTCAGCTAGTCTGCGTAAGTGACTAACGCAATTTGTTCGTTCGTTAGGGGTGCCGCTGTATCCAGTTTGAGAACCGGTTCTCTATGGCATACTGTAATGTCAAGTTGACTGATTTCCCTCAGAACTTGGTCAACACTCGAGACAAATTTGCTTTGTTCATTTTCGCACTTCTGATTCTTGGAGCCGCCGCTTTCTTCATGTTTCACTTCATATAGCTAGCAATAGCTGAGTGTCGCTACATACGGCAATAGATACTCAACAGTGTTGGTTAGTGTAAACGCAATCAGAAGCTTGTGTAGGAGAGGACTAAAGCACTTATGGGCACGATCGCTTTGCCATGAGGATGATCTTGAAATCAACAATGAATGAAAAGCTTCATTTGGCGTCTGAAAAATGCAATGTAAAAATGTCAATGATCTCATTCTACTGAGTTTGATCAGCAATAGATGCGCTGACACAAGGGGAATATGGGGTGGGGGGGGGAGGGAGGGGGAGCAGGGAGGGGGAGCAGTGTTTGTGTCGGGGGCTGTATGCTTAGTCCTTGCGTTTTCCAGGGCCATTCATAATTTCTGGACACAGAAATGTAGAAAGAATAGGGAGCTTAATCAGCAGAAGCTTAGCTTAAAAGAATAATATTAGTTATTTTAAAAAAAGTGAGGTAAATAAATACAAATAACATTTGAAATCATAGAAATACGTATAATCAATTACAGTATACCTGGATATACGTCCTTACTCCGTTGCAGATCCTTAACATGCCTTTCTACCACGGCTGCTTCTGCTTTGTTGTCGTCGTATTTTCTAGATTTTTTTTCTGCTCCTGCTTCCACCTTTGCACCCAATGCTCTATCAAAAATAATGTATCACATAAAGCATATGTGAGGTAAAATTAAGCAGCAGATATTACCGGGAAAAAAAATACTTTCTTGATTGGAAATATAACTAAAACGTTGGCATATCACTCCGTTGCCAAAAACAATGTACAGCACACATCATGCCTTTTTTTGTTTCGTTACATACTTGCATTAAAATTGAAAAACCTTAGCCAAAAATATAGTTAGCTTTATGCCTTTCTATTTTTATCTGTTTACTGAGTTTAACAAGTGAAAGAAGAAACGAAATATTCCAACAAATTTTGTTTTGTTAAAAGTAATCCAAATAGCATGTTGAAAGCGGTTACCGAATGCATTTGCAAGTTCATTTTTGAACTTTAAATGCGGGTAGTTTTGTTATTGAAAGAAGTGTCTGGCTGAACGGTTGTGACGCAGTGATTTAAGGGGAAGGCCTGGGTTCGAATATTTGATAAGCAAATGCTTTACGGCGCAGATGCCAACCATTCTTGTAGAACATTGATTACACACGTGTCGATCGCTCTTTCATTGCCTCGCACTCCTGCATATCCACAGCAGTATATTTGTATGTGCATGAGTTGCTGTTATGTTGATATGCTTGATTTTTTTTAATATGAACTTGTGCAACAGCGGGAGTCGCAGTGGCGTAGCGGCTAGACGCTTGGCTGCGGATCAGAAGGTCGTGGGTTCACTCCCAGGTGGAGACGGACTTTAAAAAAAAAATGACCTTGGTTCTCAGGTCGACCCAGCCTTGAGTGGGTGCCGGGTGCAGTCCAAGGAAGTAAAGGCGGCGGGCTTGGTGCTGACCACATAACCCATCTTGAGCCAATTGGTCTATAAAAAACATATGTCTAGCCCTATATGCCCTATGAGCCTGAAAGCGTGGAAAATGGTCCTTTATTTTTTTCTCTTGTACCACAATTGTCCGTTTTGCTCCTTTCGCAGCCCTAACTGAGAATCTGAAACTATCATCCGTCTGAAACTATACAGTTTATGCTTTTCATTTCAGAGCTGCGATGGTTGCCTCCACCTCCATCTTCATGCATAAAGTTGTAGTTTGTCTTTTCCATCTCTTTAGCTGCAAACCTCCAGCGCTAGATCTTTTAGCAGAACAACCAGTATACACAACTGCGTCAGCTAACCGAGCCTTTTCATCTATCCATTGTTGTATCTTTAACTCTGCCATGCCATTACACCACGCTCTACATTCTCTTCCTAAGGTGAGCATGGCTTGATGGAAATTGTTGCCACCCATTCCATGCAAAGATAGCCTGATTCAACCTTTCAATATGCTCTGCGACACAGATAAACCGATGATATACCAACATATGTAGCTGAGACCCTTCCCACCCCCCTCAACCCCCTCCCACCAGCCGAATGCTGCAGCTGTAGTCTTAGTCTCTCTCTCTATTCTCATGCTGGATATGGTAGTATCGTTTGTCAATCTCTTGCTAGACATCCCCCCTAACCCATTCCCTTTTGCGATTTTACAATGCAGTCCCATCCACTCTTTCTTCACCTAACCCCTGGTCAATGACCTGACAGTGTCTACAGTCACATCTCCTGGCTTCCAGTTATCTTTACCTTTTCAAAACGAATTACTAAACGAAATATTGACAGACACAATAACACACACACAACCAATAAATACATTCTGGATGTTTGCATTTAGAGGTCATAAACGGAGACTAGGAATCGGTACATGGCGATATCGAATGTAACTAGTAATACCTGCTCTCGTTAAGAAACGTTTTCAACAGTGAGCAATTTCAGGATCAATGTTGTTGTTATCACATGCTATCGTTCTGCTTCTCAGTCAGCTATGTAACAGTCTTCAGTTATTAGGCATTTTTTTAAGGCTCGATTTTCGTGTTTTTTTAAAACAGCTATATAGGCCCCTACCGCTCTTTTAAAGTACCATGCCTTGTGCTATTATTTGATTTTACATCATTAAGAATAATTTATATTATGTGCCTCTGTCTTTTCCTCCCAGCTAATTTTAAATGTTGTCAGCATGTTTTCCCGTCTTTCTTTTTATCACATGACTAAGGAACAATTCGTCTGTGAAAGAGAAGAGTGGTTTGTCATGTTGTAAAACGGTCTGCAATTTTCACCCCCTGCTTTTGTCATGTCGTCCTTTCCTTCGTTCTATCCCAGCAGCTCTCAATCTGCCGATCGCAAACGTTTTTTGGGTCCAAAACACTTTCAAAGGGGTCGCCTTAGACCATGAGAAAACATATATTTATTGAAGTTATGAAGGAAAAAATTGTTTGACGGTGGCCCGGGTACAGGTTGATGGTTTTAAAAGTAAAAAGGTTCTACTGCGACAAGGCGTCCCTCAAGGTGGTGTCCTGTCGCCCACACTTTTCCTTTTATTTATCAACGATCTGGTTGCTTAGATACCAAATGGAATCAAAATGGCAATGTACGCCGACGACCTGGTACTGTGGTGCACCAATGAACATGCAACGATAGCCACAAAAACACTACAGGCTACAAATGCACTTGAGGCATGGGCCAATAGATGGTGTGTTCAACACAGACAAATGTAGCACCACACTATTCACCCTCCCCCCAAAGCAAAAAAAGCCGGCACCATCAAAAAAAACGAAATACCCCTGAGAGATGATAAAGAGCCCACATACCTAGGAGTCACATTTGATGACAGGTTGACATGGAGAAAACATATCAACAAGGCAGCAACCAAAGCCAGGAGGAAGACAGCAATTCTAAGAAAACTAAGTGGAACCACATGGGAAGCAGATGGGAAAATACTCAATAAAGTTACAAGCAGAGCATACTTCCATCACTTGGAATATGGGTCAACTGCATGGTGTTCAGCATCTAGTACTACATTAAAGGACTTAGACAAAGTGCAAAATCAAGCCTCAGAGTCATCACAGGAGGGATGAAATCAACTCCCATATTAGAAATGGAGAAAGCTTGATACAAAGTTGCAAATACAGCTGAAAAGTTCCTTAGTATGCCAGATCACCCGATGAAAATAGATTTAAGAACCTAGCCTTGGGACGGTTAAAAAGAAGCAGCTTTATACACCAAGCAAAAAGAATATTTCCTGACCTTCCAGAAATTGGCTGCCCACTTAAAAGTATTCCGGACCCCATGGAAAGAAAAATGTAAACTAACGGTACAAATCCAGACAAATGTGAAAGGGATATTTGACAAGAAAGAGCAAGATAGTGTAACACGCAGTGGCCACCCCAGTTGATATTGATGAAGAATACCCACAAGAACAATGGGTCAGAGTCTATACAGATGGGTCCGCAGAAAGTGCAGTTAGTAATAACTGGAGGTACATCGAATTCCCAGATGGTACTAGGGATAAGTCCAGCGTACCCCTGCATAACTTGATGCAGAAACCCAGGCTATTAAGATAGTACAGAGAAACTGTACCAACCTTGGCTTACAGTATGTGGTAATGCTCACAGATGCTAAATCGTACTTGAAGCACTAGTTTAGGAAACCAGAATTGCAAACAGCTGACTCAACTCAGCGCTCAGCGAAGAGTCGTAATGCAGTGGATACCGTCTCATTGTGGAGTGCCTGGAAATGAGAAAGCTGATCAACTGGCAGGGGAAGGTGCGAAAAAAGAGCAGCCAGATGTACCAGTCACATACCACCAAAAGAAAAGAATCATTAAATCGATCAGGAAACCACCAGCCCCAGCACAAGACGACTATTTTATTAAACGCCTCAGAACAGGGCACAACCGATTACGTAACCAATGTACACAAATTCAAGATAGGTGTATCAGCCATGTGCACCTGTGGAAATGTGCCCCAGACATATACTCCAGGACTGCACCGATTTTGACACATTAAGGCAAACCTTTTGGCCAGAAAGAACAACAGTGGAACGAAACTTATGACCACTGAATGAACTAATAACGACAGTGAAAATAGATAACTTATTTTAGGCGAACGAAAGAAGAAGAAGAAGTTTGACGGTGGCCACAACATGAAGGAACTCTATTAAAGGGTCATGGCATTAGGAAGGTTGAGAGCCCCTGTTCTCTTCCATTAACCACACCCAGAACTGCCTCTGTGACCTTCTAATACATCTTCTATACTGTTGTTTTGTTTTTAGTTTGTCTGTTGTGGCTGATGTCTAAACAAAATTACATTTCAG